TGTCAAAATTTAAGTGTCTAGTTCTGACAATTTACCCATGAAATGGATTACAACTAGAAAACCTAATCTAAATCACTCCTTTACCACAACAGAACTCTATCAGACAAAATTCAAAATATATGGTGTCTGTTTTTAGGAAGAAAAAACTTGCCTCTGACTTTTCCATTATGGCAACACAAGGATTGAACAATTCAACATAGTATTTGAAATAAGTATGCTCACAAAAAAACATGAGTGACAGCCTGTTTAGGATTTTAGACTGGGTTTTGCTAAGCAAATATGTCAGTAAGATGTTTCGATAATGTTAAAATACCAATTGTCCATACTGCAGTTTTCCTTAAGCCTAGAAAAGTTTTAGGAACATATGTTCCTGATCTGTTACTTCTCAGGAGCTCAACCATGAAAAACAAAGACATTGCAAGCACAAGTAGGTATCTATTCAGTTGGCACTTAGAAGAAAAACTAAAAAAAAAAGACATCTCAAAATTTTGTTTAATCTCAAGTGGCAAAAAAAAGTTGTAATTTGTTGTGAATTTTAAAAGTTCTAAGTGTACAATACTAAAAAATTAATTTTAAAGTAGGAAACTGAAACACCGTATTCTTAAAATGTTTCCATTAATTTTTTAAGTGAACATTTTACAAAATTTGGCACATTGTCTTGGATCATTTCGGTCTTGATAAATTGGTGATTTTGGTGGAAAAATATTACACCAGTAACATTTGTCAGAGCTTCATTGTATTCAAAGCCAGGATCTCAAGCGGATGACAGTGAAATGTTTTTTGGAGATAAATTATATACTGTTAAGAAGACATACTTGCCTATGAGAAAAACAAGTTTTTATTTTTGTCTGCTTTTGTAGTCTTCATTATGAAAAGTAGACTGCTGATTTGATGGTAACTAGCTCATTTGAGTGCTTTACAGAGCAAAGAGAGAATGGAATTATTTGGAGTTATCAGTGGTGCGTCAAATATGTGGAAACTAGAAAACTATACATCTTTCTGTAAATCATCAGTACTATGAAGATAACCACTGAATGCAGTTAAGCGGTGTTGGTGAATTTATTTAGACATTGGAATAGCTTCAATATAACCCTGAACATGAACTGAAAGTGTAACATGCATGTTGTCAACTTCTGAAACCAAGATTGTATAGAGTTAAAGATACCTGGAGTTTAATAGAATCACTTCACAAAGGGTGAAGAAATATTAGTGACTGCTGGAAGGATTTCCCTGGGTTTTCGCATTATAGAGATGGAATTTTCTGTGGTTTTCCACACTGGTTTGCAATTGCCAGGCAGTAGCCCAGGCCAGCCAGCAGTCTGTAGGGACAAGGCAGCCAAATTAGTGGGTCCAATCAGCCAGATGGGCGGCCAGGCAAAGGCTGCAGCGCAGCTCAGGCCAGGACTGAAGGGAAGGGTGGGTTTAAAAGCTGTTCCTGAGTGAAGGCAGGAGGACCCCAACGTGGCATCTCACAGCTCTTCCCCTACAGCTCATTTCACAGCAGGCTGATTCAAGGTTACACAGCTGCATGATATCAGAGCTGGCCTGGGTATGGGGAGCTAACAACAATCATGTTCAAAAAGAGTATTTTCAATGGAGTGATTTTCTTTTTTTTTTTTTTTTTTTTTTTAAATACAGCGAGTATATAGAAGTTTATAAACTGAGTAGTTTAACCTGAAAAAGATTTTGTAGGTTCTGATACCCAGAAGCAAATCAAACTGGTACCAGGCACAATGCCAGTAAAGTCATAGCCAGGATAAGAACAAATTAGCTGGACATGCTGGAGGCGCATTGTGAAATGCTTCTCACTCGCCTCTAATTCCAGATTAAGACCAAAATGATAATATTTTTGCTCATTTTCTGGGTTATTTTGCCCTCAGAAGGAATCCTAAAACCAGTTCTTCTCCATAATACCCTTCCTCTATCTGACCTGTTCTAACATGCTTGTGCCTTCTCGCTTCCATGCTACTCAGAGGTACCACATTATCTCTGAAATCTTCAAGGCCTCCACATGACCATTCTCTTGTGTTTTCACATAGCACCAGATTACCTTTCTCTATCATCTTGTAACTTTGTAGGTCCCCTTCCCAATATGACCTGTTGCCTCCCCTGTGTCGGAGTAGGATTAATTTCCTAATAACAAAACCTTGTTCCAAACTGGCATGTCAGAGCTTCTTGTGTAATAGCTGGAAAACCAAAGTCAGTGACCATGCAGGATAGTACAGAATAATCCTGAATACAGCTAAATGGAAGTCTGTTGAGAAACATGTCCTACTCCCTTTTCAGAGAAAAGGTGGGTTGGGTCCCCCCCTGCTTTGTTTGTTGTTGTGTTTTTTTGTTTTGTTTTGTTTTTTAAGTCCTCTTCATACATTCCAGGCATGCCTTGTTATGGGTTATTAAAAGAAGAGGAAGCTGCCCACTTATTTCTTGTAAAACCAGAGAATTTCTCCAAAGGATCATATCTGAGTGTTAGATTTGTGCAGACATGGAACTACTGAATGAGTGCATCCTTTAACCCCCATACCTGAATGCTTTGCTCGGTGAAGGGGAGACCATAATTGGAGCATTTAAAACAGCGGTACTACTGGACTTGTCATTCTGTATAATGATGTGAGCTTTCACTGAATATCTTGCATTATTTAATCATAAGGTAGAACAGACTCCCTGTATCATAAATGGCTTCTAATTAGCTGAAAGACTTCTGTTCCTTCCATATTCAGTGGGAACGTTTTAGTTCTGTGTTACCAAGCTTTGAAATTTTATTTTATATCTGTGACATTCAATGCTTTTGTTAAAATTCCAGACCCTTGAGTTACTTAAAAGGAAGAAAACATCACTTTGGATCCCCGTCCTCCCCTTGTTCCTTCCCTCTGCATACTCCTGTGAAGTGTTTCTGAGAATATTCTTCCCCTGCTATATTAAATGTGTGATTTTTTTGTATAGTCAAAGATGGGAACAATACCTATAGCACACTTTGGAGCCTAGTCCTCTTGTTCTTTGCAGATTGTCAATTGTAGATCTTGCTGCTGGTAAAATATTAAATTGTATTTCAGTGCCCTCTAGTGGCTAGGTGATCCTGTTCAGCTTAGGGAAAAAGGTACCCACTAAAAAGCCACAATGTTTGTTACAGCACTGAAACTAACTCGGAACAAGGTGGAGATATGCAGAAATCTCTTATTTTGAGTCATTTGCTATACTGCTGTCTTCACTGGATCGTACATGATAGTGAACGCTTAGGAAGTTGTAACTTCATTCTATTTATTCTCTTGTGCAGTTTCGACAGTGCCTTTTGCAACTCCTGTGCTTTCGCCTGATGAGATTCCAGAGGACCATGAAAGAGACACCGGCAACAGGGAATGACAAACCAATACGACCAATAGTTATGTCTCAGAAAGCAGGGGACAGGCCAAAGAAGAAAGTGACTTTCAGTTCTTCCTCTATCGTTTTTATTATCACCAGTGATGACACTCAGCAAATAGATGACAACAGTAAGCACAATGGGACAAAAGTAAATGTCATCCAAGTAAAGCCATTATAGGGATGAGCTAAAGAGATGTGAGAATGAAATGGACTTCAGCCAGTAGACTGTTTAGGTTGGAGATCGGTTTCAGTGGTGGTGTCTCTGGGCTGCCAAAGGAAACCACACTCTTAAGCTGTGAAATACTGAAGGGATTCTGCATCTGAAGCTCTGCACGCAGTTCAGTTTTGGTCTCAGTACTGAAATCTCTGCATCTGTGCCAAAATTGCTGATGGATGGCTTTACTCTGAGTTTTCTTAAAGCATATTGTAGGATTGCCATTCAGGAGAACTTGGTCAGGCTGGAGGAATGTGCTGACAGAAATGTTACAAAGTTCAGCAAGCGCAAGTGCAAAGTCCTGCACTTGGGAAGGAAGAATACTGCAGCACAGCAGGCCAGGCCCTGGCTGCCTGGGACGCAGCTCTGCAGAAAAGGACGTGGGGTCCTGTTGCTCAGTGAAGCAGGGCATTGAGCCTGCAGTGTGCCGTGGCAGCAAGGAAGGGCACCAGCATCCCAAGGCTGTACTGACAGGATTGGAGCCCCTGAAGTGATTATGCCCTCAACTCGGCCCTCATTAGACCACATCTAGATACTGCATCCAGTTTTGGGACCCCAATACAAGAAACTCATCTGTAAACTGGGGTGAGTTCAGTAGGGTCCCCCAAGATTGTCAGGGGTTGGAGTATTTGGCCTGTGAGGAGAGGCTGGGGGAGCTGCACTTGACGAGCCTGGAGATGAGACATCTTCAGGGGAACCTAATAGCAGCCTTCCAATAGAGATGGGGAGGTTTTCAAGAAGATGGAGCCAGGCTCTTCAGGGTGATGCATAGTGGAAGGATCAGAGACAATGAGCATGAACTGAAACAAGAGAGATTTGGATGGGATATAAGGAAAAGCTTTTTTTTACCCTGAGGACAGCCAAGCAATGGAATAAGTCAGACTAGAGACTTCCTGAGGTTCCTACCAGCTTGAGTCATCCTGTGATCCCTGAACTACTAGCACTCCCAGCGCACAGAGTTACCAGGGAAGAGGGAGGAACATCTGAAGTTGGCTGTGGTTTAGTTGGTCTGAATTGGCACTCTGCAGGGCAGGGCGTGGGAGAAGTGATGTCGACAATGACTGGGGCTATGGTTAAACCAGAAGCCACCAGAAAGCTGTCTCTGTGTACTCAGCAAGCCGTTCTCTCGGTGCTAGCTGGTGGGACTCCTGAGCTACATAGTGAAGAAAATCATGCAAATCAAAGCACCAATGAAAAAAGGTCAGTGAAAAGGGAGAATCGGATTTTTTTTTTTGTTACAATACATGCTTTATGCATCTTTATCTTGCATCCATTTATTCTGTACATGGACCGGGAGTGTCATCCTATATTAATCTTCAGCCTGCTCTGGCACTTTGGTGAAAATAATAGTTAGAGAAGAGCAGTGTAACTTTTGCCTCTCGAAGTTGCAGTGTGAGTAATGATTCTCCTATTTGGAACTCAGGAGACAGAACAGATATTTTTATTTGTTTTCCCTCACCTTTATGACTATTGCTGGTACAAAATGGTGACAAAATTCTGCCCCAGACACGGCTGCCTGTCAGCATTGGATGCGTAAATTGGAGAACTAATTCTGAATTATGGCAGCTGATCCTCTACCACATCCATTGCACTGGTGTCATTTCTCTGCCTCAGTCTGCTAAATGGGCAGTGTGGATCTGCAACATGCAGCTTTTCCATCTCTGTGAAAGCTGTAAGAAAAGCAATTAAGAAACTATTTGCTTCCTCTGAGGACAAACCTTTGAGAGGTATAAAGGGAACATGCTGAATAACTGTTGGCACCAATAGCCATTGGTCCTGCAGTCAAGAATAAAACATAAAAATTGAATAGAAAAAATCAGGGTCTAAATGTAGAAGCTTTCAGCTAGTTCCTGGGAGTAGGGAGTGACCTTAACTGAGAACGAGTGACTGACTTTGTGCTTGTGCCTGTGCTTTTGAAGAGGGAAATTACTTACATGTGTACATCTCTAGAGCTTTAGCACTGGTAATCTGGCTCTGTCTCATGTTTAAAAGTGCATCTAGAGTCCACTCTGATTTCTAGATTAAATAATATCTGTTTTCTCTCACATTATAAATACCTGTCTTTGTTTCTTTCATATTTGTTATTTTTGTTTTGCTACAAATGCATAGATTGTCTTAAAATGTCAACGATCTGCCCTTACTAAAGCATGTTCACTGCAATGTCAAGAACTACGTTTTCAGCCAATGATCACTACATCTATGCATATTTATATTTACAAATGGAGAAAGATGTACATTAGCAGTCCATGTAATGATTCCATCCTTTTAACAAAATGTCTGGTATTTTAGTATTTTCTGTATATTGAGCCTTCAATGAGTGATTAAATGTACCTTATTTATATCAATGTGTTCTCAGTGAAATATTTTTTTTCCCCACTGAGAGGGAGGTGGTTTGGTATCGTCACTTGTTGGATACAGCTTGAAGAGTATCGTTAGGCACTGAAAAACCAGTAACATTTCAGGATTCTAGTTGATCTTTTTGTAAAGAACAAGTATAGGGTCTGTAAAGAGAAACTATCCACTGTTCAGATTTATGAAGGTAAAATTTGAGTAATTAATGATAACAGTATATGATTTTTTTAATAATTGATGTGAGACATATTTACTACTACAATACATAGAACACTAGCAATTATGTAACAAGATATGAAAACTAAACACTAAAAATTATTGTGAATTTGTTATCTTGGCTACTTTTTGTAAATTGGTGGCCTAAAATGATAAATTTTGTGAACTGTTAGAAGTAACTTGTTCTTATAGCCTGTAAAGTGTCACTAGCTTTATGAGTGTGGCAATGTGAAGTTAGCATGCTGCAGTCCTATCTGCTCATCTTTCAAGCTCAACTGCTGCGTAACTGCAGCACTGATGCAAAATTCACACCCTGCTACACAATGTAAGTATTGTAATAGTCAGTCTTTGAGCATCACCAGGTTATTTACAGATTTGTTGTGGTTTTTTTAAATTCTAAGTCTGTCTTTGATCTATTCTGGGGATGTCACAACTGGCTGGTTTATTACAGTGGAGATGCAGAGACTTATGCAGGACCTTTCTCTCCCATTACAGGGAATGGAAGAGGAAGATGCTTAGCATTAACATTTGGACCATTAGCTATTCCTAAAGTAACAGAAATGCAGACTAAGAAAGAGGAAAAGGAGAAGGACAAAGTGTGAAGGGCAAAAGGGTAAGAAGAAATGAGAAGGGTACGTTATTTATGGAGATTTTAAATAAACTAGTTGGTAAGAAGTTCCATGATGCTGTCGTGCAAAGGGAAGTGGCAGGTATGGTGAGTACCATGATAGCCTCAGAGCCAATTAATTTCTCTTAAAGAGGTTGCATTGATTTTCCTGCATTACTGGAAAAATACATACGACAATTTAGCTAGAATGCCATTTGTAACCTGCAAATGCAGGAGCCTCAGTTAAATTGCCTCCCAGCAGCTGGTGCGTCAGGACTCTGTTGGGAGGCATTTCCGCATCTCCTTCATGCTGTGGAAAGGATCCCCTCTCACCCTGTGTTTTGAGGCAGTCATGAATCCTGAGGCTGTGTCCACCGACCTGCCAGTGCAGGGGCTTCTGCTGCTGGCCTTGATCCCATGGAGGCAAGAAACTACAGGATGTGTGGTGCAGATCTGCTCCGCAGCCTTGTGACCTTCCTCCTCTTTCAGCTCCCAGAAGCAGCTAGATTTATGCTGAATGTATCTGACCTCATGGAGAAGAGTTGGGTCTTACGCTACTGAGACATTATCTTGTATCACAATGATTACATCAGTCAGGAGATCAGTATTCACAAGCATTATCCTTTGTGCTCCTGTCCTTTGCGTAACAGCAGTATCCTGCTGTGGTTTTGTGCTAAAATACTGCAACAGCTAAGTGAAATAGATATTCAAGCACTATATTGTGCCAAACCATCCAGAAAGAACAGCCTTTAGGAATACATTTATCCTCAGCTTATATAAACAACCTTCAGCTCAAGAACAGAATTTGACTGTATAATATTTAGAGGCAAGAATGAGAAGAATCTGATGATGGTGGAAGATTTCTCAAACTTATGTTTGACCCACATATAAACATCTCAGTTTGAAAATACCTGTTGTCAGGTATTTCTTTTGTCAGTCCATTTCACCGCAGTTAAGGAACCTTATTTTTTTGTCTCTTGTAAAGGAAAAGAGGAGGGGGGAGTGACGCTGGAACAGTCCTAGAGGGTGGGGATGCCTGTTCCTGCTGCTATTAAAAGGGGCACCTACTGCCAACCTTTGAGTTGGACTGGTACTTGCACATGCCCCAGTCCCTCCCTGGGTGGCAGCAAGAGCAGGATGAAAAGCAGGAGGGAGAAGTGCACAGCTGATCTCCCTTTCTTCTGCCACAGGCAAGCGCTGCAGCCTTTTAGTCCCACTTGTCTAACACCCAAGGCCACTTTGCCCGCTGCTCTGACCTGGCTCTGCATTTCATTTATCCAGCTCAAGCTGCACGTTATGAATGCCTTTCTCTCTCTCTCCCCTTACCAGATTAGTATTGAAGAATTACTTGTAACGCTTTAAAGCTGAAGAGGAAATTAAATTGATTTTCAGTACAAATTAGAATGCAGGGTATTAGCAACAGACTTGGCATCAAACACTGCCTGGACCTGGCTCCTCCACCTTTCCTTTCGTTGCATTTTCAACGGTGTTTGTGCTCCCTCTTGTGGCTTGCTCAGCCCGGCGCCTGCTGGTAGACAAATGAGCCTGGCTTCCTAAAAACCTGTTTTCGTTATGCATTTCCCTTGCATGTGGGAAGATTCACTGTTTCATGTCTATTATATTTTGTTTATATTGCATATACTTCTGTCTTTGAAAAATTATGGGAAATAGAAGGAGAATAAAGTGTATGCATACCAGTTAGCCATGCTAGTTTTCACCAGTCTATCTTTATAGACAGATGATTGAGACTGAGGCCAGGATATAGTGTAGAATTATTAAACCTTACTTA